AAGGTTCTAAATGATTCCTTACACAAGTTTCTAAAGGAAGTTCTGATGTTAGCCAGCCTCGCATACACCGATGATGATATTCTTTTGATTTGGGCTTCAGGAGACAGGTTTGGCGTGATATCAACTCCTAGATCTTTCTGCCCGTTTCAGGGTGGACTTCATCTCCCATTCGGTACCCTGTGTCTGGCCTTAAGTTCCCTCCCCCTAGTTTCATTACCTTTCCATTACTTGGACTGAACTTTATGTAGCCATTTGTTCAACCATTCCTTCTGTTTCTCTAGGTCATCTTGTCCTTGTCATCTTGCTATCTTCGTTGGTCTTAATCTTCCTCATAATTTTTGGATCATCAGCGAACATTGAGAGGAACGAGTCTGTTCCCTCTGGGAGATCATTTACATATATCAGAAACACGATGGGTCCAAAGACTGAACCATGTGAAATTCCACTGGTGACGTCTCGCTACTCTAAGACCTTCCCCTTCCCTCACAGTGACTCTATTTCTTCTGTTGCTTAGGTACTCCCTTATCCAGTGGAGTACCTTCCCTTTTACTGCTTCCTGCATCTCCAGCTTATTCCCTAGTCTCCTATGACATACTGTGTCAAAGGCTTTCTTGCAATCCAAGAATATGCAGTCTGCCCAGCCTTCTCTCTTGTCTGGTTCTTGTCGCCTGGTCATAGAATTAAATTAAGTGTGTGTGTGTGTGTGTGTGTGCGTGTGCGCGTGTGTGTGTGTGTGCTTGCCTAACTGCTTTTGACGGTGACTAGGGGAGGTGGGACAGTGTTCTAACTCCCTTAGGTACTCTACTCTAGGTACTCTTAGGTACTAGGTACTCTCACCCCACCTTATTGTGTGTGTGTGCTTACTATTTGTGTCTGCAGAATTGAGCTATTAGCTCTTGGACCCCGCTTTTTTAACCAATCTATTTTTCTCTAGTATATCTACTATATATATTTCTAACACGCGCACACACACACATCCCCAGGAAGCAGCCCGTAGCAGCTGTCTAGCTCCCAGATACCTATTTACTGCAAGGTGAACAGCCCCATCCGGGTGAAAGAAACTGCCCAGTTACTTCCGCTTCCGCCGGGATCGAACCCGGGCCCTTAGGACTACGACCCCAGAACACTGTCCCTCAGCCGCGAGGCCCCGTTGTGAGTGCGTGTGTGTGTGTCACATGCTATCCTCTGCCTAAAAGCTTCTGACGATTTTCTTGGGTTTCAACATTTCTGGCAGACGTGGAGGAGGCGGGCAGGTGTTGAGGTCCCACGCTGTTGGTAACACTTTTTCTCGCTCTCTCTTTAATACTTTTCTCGTATAGTTTTACTTTTGTATTTTTGTATCCTTGAAACAACACGCTTTATTATCGTTAACGTTATTTCTTGCACTTTTAATGACACAAATAGTGTTGCATCTTCAAGTTCGTACAACGACATTTAGATAATTAGAGTTTAGATAATTATACAAGATTGGCAAATAATGAAAATATGGCCAATGCGGTATTTTTCACTTGCAAAATATATTTTACATCAAATCGCTACTTGGTTCTTCCTCTTTACCGAGCATTTATTCAAAGTTCCGTTCCATTTATTCTGTGCCGGCTCTCGAGTTCAAGAACTCGAACGCCGGTACAGTTATTGATCAGTCCCAAGCAAGCTCCGAAGGTTGCTTCCCTCATGTGTGACTCTTTCATTAAATATCAGGTAAATCAAGCTGGTTTGTCGCCAAGTCTCATTTTTGGAGACCCTTGACATATGTTGGTTCGGAAAGTTTCTTATTGCTACTTCTTTAGTTTTGCTCTCCATGTCGCTGTCCCAATGAGGTTTTTAGTTCTCAAAGTTTATTTTACCGGATAACCTTCATGTTGAAGCCTCTATAGGTCGGATAACCTTCAAATTGAAGCCTCTATGGCCGGATAACCTTCATGTTGAAGCCTCTGGCGATGTAGAATCGAGTTTAAATTATAATTATACAAGATTAATTGCATTTAAATTATAATTACACGAGTAATTAATTGCACATGTGTTCTGCTTCAATTATTCCTTTACTTTTGTACAGGCACGTGGCGCCATTGCCATATAATGACATCGCTTCTACTGGGGTAAGATGAGTCTCTTTCACTCTTTATACCTTAAGTCTGGAATCTCTGGGGTCTTCTCCTTAGATGGCAATGTGATGTCTGGCTGTGCGACTGAGTCAGTATGAGCTGATGATGAGCTCTTACATTTATGCCTGTTGCTTGCTTTCTGCCAAGACAGGACGGCACACTCGCGTCTCCGCACGGCGACTCAGCCAATTATCTTGGGGTTTAGCCTGAAAGGGGGAAATAATCCTACCGGTGGGCAGTTTAAATAAGTCTCCCTTCAAATCTGGAATCCTCAGTCTTCCCTGACCAGCACGTCCATGATCTCTTCCCCGACCTTCTCTCTCTTTTCTCACTATATAGTAGCCTTATGTGGACATTGCATTTGTTATAATGCCTAAGAGTTTTGTTTCCGTGAATGCAATTACATCTGAACCTTGTTTTTCCATTTAACTGAGTATACTTGCTTTGCAGACCATCTATGTTCATTAATTTAATGCTCTTTTCCTGTGAATTTTTGTTTCAGACTCCTTATAGTTCTTGGTCCCCAGGCATGAAAAGTTGCTCTGTTGATGGGAGTCGAAGGCGGTAGGGAAGATAGGTGAATAGGAGCGAGACTGATGGTCTTGGAGGACGGTGTTTATATTCTGATGGGTGATATGGATGGGTTCTAAGGGGCAGTGATGGGGAGTTTGTGTGTGATAGACATGGGTGAGAAGTAGCATGTAGGAGTGGACACAGAAATCACAATAGCGTGATATATCAAATGAACAAATCCGCAAGGGCCGTAATGAGGTTTCGAACTTCGAACGCAGTCGACTAAAGCAGAGTCTGGGATCATCCCGGGCGCAAATTCGAACCCTCATCACAGCCCTTGTGGATTTGTTCATGTAGGAGTGGTTTTCACTTCAGTACTCTAATCCTGTGTGCCCTCAGATGCATGTATGCACATGTGCATATATCATCGGGTGAGTGTGTGTATGTGTGTGTGTGTGTGTGTCCTCGGGTATGTGTCCTGAAGTTTGTATGTGGACACGTGCGTGTCCTTTGGTGTGTCCTAACTATAACAACAGCCACTTACACCCACAAAAATACATACCAGCAACACATAACGAAAATGTGTCATTTACCTGATCGTGTTTTTTGTGAGTTTTAATTTTGTGTTTATTCACATTTGTAATAGATTTTTTTAATATTCAACATGCATAATTAACCACTCATACCAGATTTTCCCCAAACAACTCCAATAATGTGAATGTTGTTACACATGATGAAATAAGCTTTGAATCGCTTTATTAAACAGCTAAATCATTTATGCTGAAAAATGTATAATGATTCCAGGAACCCTTAGCTCAGCTCAGCAGAGAAATACTCTGAAATATAAATTAAAATTCTAAATTGAAAAAAAGAACAATGTTAATAATAATATTAATCCAGTTGTTTATGACCAAACCTTAATAACTTTCCTGAGTCTTGCAATTTATCACCACTTGATAGATATATATTCTATCAAGATATATATATATAGATATATCTTATCAGAATAGGTTCCAGATATATATTCTTGGCATCCTTGTTCCTTGCATTCACCTTAACATCACAAATGCATTTTAAATTATACTGGGGTTTGGTATTGAGTTTCAACCTCTGGAATGTTATTACGGCCACCACAATAACATACTGACCAACCAGCAAATATACGTTAATCTAGAACATTCAAGTACGTTTACTGAAACAATAAAATACATCTCAAAGGGGATAGAGTAGCTTAGGCTATTTCTATCTTGCTGAGAACTCCAGAACATTGAGTACGATAAAAGTAAGCTGTGTATATGCACTAAAAAGGAGGGGAAGTGTACTTTTCGGTCTTTGTCTATTGATGTAACTATTGATGTGTTGCAGCGGTGCACACCAGGGTCGTGGGTCCACACGTAAGGGTCGGCCCCATAGTGCCGTACAGACTCTTACCTCTCCACAGACTGTCCCAAGTCTGTGGATATCATGTACTCCTCCTCACTTGTTTCTTCACTACTTGTCTCGATATGAATATCTAATCTATGTAAACCTCTCCCGCTGCATACATTTTGAGCGCACATGCACAGTGAAAAAGTGTTTTACATAAATATTTTTTGAGAACATCTCAGTATTATACTTTGAGTCACGAGTTTCAATAAGATGCTTCACTAGGAGGTATATGATTTCACACCTCTTGACACCTTTTGAAGGTATATGTAATATTTTATATAATAAGCTTGAATAATATACCTCATTAAAATAAGATAAACTGATATACTGGGTGTCAACAAATTGCTCATGCCATTCCAAGTCTTAATAACACTCTAATGGTGTGAATTCTTCGTGAACACTGTACATCTCTCCCACAATAAGATATTCTAATATGTGAAAAAATATTGAGGCTCACAATGGGATCGAACCCGCGTCCCTGGACTATACCAAGCAAAAACACTACCAACTCACCCATAAGTGCACCTGGGAAGTCCAGGAACGGGGGTTCGATACCATTGTTTGACCTTAATATTTCATATATATACATCACGTTATTGTGATTTCACTGTACACTTAAATCTTCTTTAGAGGTTACTATCTCCTATTAAGGAGAGGGGAAGGGATGGGGAAAGAGAGTGGGAATGAGAGGGAGTGGGGAATGGGAGAGAGATGAGAGATGGGACAGGGGAGTTTTGAGGAAGAGTGGGATGATAGGGAAATTTGGGAAGGGGAAAAGAGAGTCCCTGGCACAGCCTGGTACTTGCCTACTAATTTATAAATAGTATATGTTGGATTATAGCTCTTGGTCTATAATACCATTGCTCATTATACATATTAATAATAATTTATGACTAATCACCATCGTTCTACCTTAATATTATTTTCCAGTAAGGTCTTAAATAAACAAAAACAAATTCTATTTATTTATATTTAGCAAACCATCAAATATTTATAAATTCTCTTCAAAACATAACATTTATTGGTGTAAGCGAATTTATCAAGCTTAACTTACTGGTGTAACTGCAGTACCAAAACCTAACTTGTTTAAGTGCTGTATCAAATCTTACTTATTACTTAGTGTTATAAGCGTTTTTATCACAAGTTGACTTTTGAAAACTGGGTTTGAAGACGTATTATCTAAGTTACCTCCTGTGATTTCTGGCCAGACGGAACTCGCCCCACGAGAGATAACCATCCTTGTTGTTGTCGTTCTCCTGCAGTACGTCGTCAACCAATTCTGTCGATAATCAACACCTGTAATCAGTACGTGGGTGCAAGCAGTGTCTCCCTCCCATTCTCCATTTTGCCAAGTGTTAGTGGGCGAGTAGTTTCTCATCCATCTCCTAATTTGATAGTATTGCCAGTAGCTGAACACGTGTTGCAATGTTTAATACTGCAGTACTAACTTCAGATCTTGTGGAGGCTGCATCTACCCGTTCCAGCTGTGCAGAGCTGCTATTATTTTTACATTACCCAAAATGTCATTGAACTCTAACAAGTTTAATTATTGTTCAAGTATAGTTCCCAACCTGCCATTTGTGGTGTTTAACAGTATTAACAACTTGTAGCATACTTATTTAAATCTTCAATAACAGCTCATCCACTTAAAGGTTCCTTTGGTAACAATGTTTGTGAAAAAAACATATTTCATTTTTTCCTTTTAATCAATCAAGATAGGAAATTGGAAATAGCACCAAAAATGTCCTAGCTATGGACCCCATCAGACCTATGGAAATAACGGCAACCAACGGAAGAAGAAATGAATGACTATCAGTTTGACAATATATACTAGAGAGAATCAACAGTTGGATATTTTTACTAATTTGTGCCGCAGGATCATGATATTAGCCCCTCGACCCCATCTTTCCAATTATTGGTTGTCTAATTTACTAGCTACGGACCTTATAGCCTGCATCATATCTGCTGTATATTAAACATACACACATGCACAACCGATCAGTGCTCAGGAGTCTTAGTCCAAACAACCTGGGTTCGATTCCAAGCCGAGGCAGAAACAAATGCTGCAGACTTTATTGTGTTTGAGAAGACATGTGCAAATGCTATAGACTTTACAGAATTTGCACACTACCTATGAATAAAATCTATGCATATGCATATCTTTTCTCAAACAGAATAGTCTATGGGATCAGTACACTTCTTCCAAAAACATAATAGAGTATATGGTAATTGCACACTCTGCCCGGAATGGAGCGGTCGGTTGTAGTCGTCATTTACACTACTCACTCGCACTCTGAACACTGCTTTAGTCGACTCACCAATATAAAACTTAAATTTCTCATCCCATTTCTGCTGACGAAAGTTCTGTAGTATCTTCTTTTCCTGCTCGCTGAGTCCTTTGAGCTTCTCGTCATCGATGGTCACTTCGTCCTCGTCCCCATCAGTGTCTCCGGCAATGTGGATGATGGCTGACAGGAGCTCCAGACCATCCAGGCCGTAGTTGTTATCAAAGTCGTGTAACCTGCAACACGTGAACAAAAGATGTTCTTCCACTGTCGGGAACACAATAGGCTTTTTGAGGTCTCTCTAGCTAATAACTGACTGTTTCCCAGGATGCAACCCACAGCAGTTGTCTAACTCCCAGGGTACCTATTTGCTGCTTGATGAAAAGAGGCATCAGGTGCAAGGTAATGTGCACACATATCTCTCTCTGCCTGGATATCGAACCTGGGAATATAGGTTGTGAGTTGACTGTGCTACAATGCAACCTTTCCTATAATCACAACGTTGAAATTCGCTCTAGGCATCCGAATTTTGGGTCTTTTCCAATTTTTAGCGATTGTGAAACTTGTATATAACCAACAGTTTGGTGTTGGGCTTAATACCTATTAAGACCTTGAGGGCTATTAAGACAATCCCTAACAGCTTACTGACCAACAAGCAATCTCAATAAACATACTTGAACTTGAACTTGACCAAAAAGCATGTATATTTTAGTCCTGAACATAGTCCAAGAAGTAAATTGTGTGTATATACACCAAGAAATGGGGTATACCTCTCAGTATATATAATACCCTATATGTAAAGATCAGTTACTACTGTAACAGTGGTTAGAATAAATTATCTTTAATATGAAGATTGAGTTTACCCTTAAACAGCTACATATACGAGTTATGTTCAAACTTGAAACAATATCATAATATCAATTGAATGATGTTAGACATATCATAGTACCTGTTTTTGTATAATTGGTTTTATATGTAGGTCTTATTTGTCCTTTGGGAATTTGGTTATCATAGATAAGACTCGTAGGAATTTGATATAATAACGACTTACTTGAAGTAATGAAAATCCAATTCCTTGTCAGACATCTGATCAATCTTGTCTAGCGACATGTAGGCAGGAAGTTCCTCCTTCAGATGTCTGGAATGGAGGAAGTCAGTCGTATTGAGTGTTTCAAGTGTCTGGGGTGGAGGAAGACAGTCTAATTACAGGTGTTTCAGTGGCTTGTTAAAGTTATCCAAACCCCCCCCCCCCCCCGATGGGAGAGTTTTTTATAATCACTGCTAATGATCTTGTTAAATGAATGGAGATCGTTAGAATGAATGTTAAAGAAAGTTCTTTAAAATCAAATGGTTTCTGTTTGTTATGTTCATGTGACATAGGCTGATCAATGTTGCATACAGATTAGGATAGATTAGGTTATGTTAGATTGGGATAGGTTAGGTTAGATTGGGATAGGTTAGGTTAGGTTAGACTGGGATATGTTAGGTTAGGTTAGATTGGGATAGGTTAGGTTAGGTGTTTAGGATATTTGTAGTATGTAGGTGAAGCATTTGCAGAGCAACTATTCAAACGGGACGTCGCAAACACTGTTCGAGAAATGTTCGAACCTCATTAATTGTGAATAGTGTGTAAGGAGTAATTAATTCATGAACAGGGAATTTGGCAGCTGGATTAATGAGACTTTGGCCTTTGTTTATGAGACCGGTTTGTTGATCACAACTAACAACCGATTTCTCACTCCCTATCGTGAAGAAGGTTGTCATCTTGCAGCAGTTTAGGGTTTCCAAGCGTGTCTTGAGGTCGCTTAGGCACGTGATGGTGGTGCTGCTTCACGTGTTGGTGGTGAGACGGTTTATTTATGTGCATAGGCTTCTGGCCTGCTTCTATTGCCACCACGTCCAGCCCACACCCCGCCCACACGCCCACCACCAGCCACACGCCCCAGTGCCTCATCTCGTGATATCAGAGCTTCGGTGCCCAGGCAACTTCAAGTCTGAAACACCAAAATAAAGTTAGCGTTAAAAAATAAGTGACATTTCCACATGTGTTAAAGAACCATTTGCAAACTTTCGTGTATTTTTCTAATTAAAAATATAAAGCTTCAATTGGATAGAGGTTTTGTAATTATGGATAAATATGTTGCATGTTGGATTTGTCTTGTTCTCGCAAAAAAGGGTTTAAACATACAGTCGCTCAGTTCTGACTGTGGTGCCCTCACCAACACTATACGATACGACTCAGACCTTGAATCTCGTGATAGCCTCATGTCCAACGTCACCCAGGTTTTTAACAGATTTTTTTTTTTCTATCACGCACTGCCGTTTGGGATCTGTTAGGCTCTTCACGACCACCTAACTTACAGCAATCTAGAGATCCCTATGTTATACGCATCTTGGGAGCGACAGAGACAGCCAGAGAGATTACTAGTCATGGAGTGAGAGATTATTATATCACAGAGCATCAACATTGACACAGATGGACAGGTGTAGATTCAGGGAGATGCTGATCCCGTCATTGCCACACAGGACAGTGATAAGTGGTCTGACTCACAGGTATTAACATTTGCACCTCTCTCATGCTACACTACAAATGATATATAATATTTAATTGAGAAAATTTAAACAGTGGAAGGGAGGAGACGGAAGAAATCGGGAAGAGGGAGAAAAGCAAAAAGATAGTGAAAGACTAGAAGAGTAAAGTAGAAAGAGAGAGAGAGTCGATGAGATGAATACGAGAAGAGGGGGTGGAGAGTAGGAGCAGAAAGAAAGAGAGAGAGAGAGGAAGGAAAAGAAGACGATATAAATGCTGGAACAGGAGGAAGAGAAAAGCAAGAGAAGGTGGGAAGAAAGGATTTCTTTTCCTCTTGACCAATACCCCGTGAAATTGCCAATTACTTCGCTGTTTAAGCAAAAAAACAAACTGAAGCCTTTCATTAAAAAATATTCTAATTGGATATGGAAAAACATTGGTATAAAAATGTTTAATGAACGCAGTGTAACCTTGCAAGAGCATTGGTTGAAGCCCCAGTGACCGTGTCCACTTTTAGTATGTTTATTAAATCTTAATGCGTATCCACTCACCATATTTTGTTATTATAAATGAATGGAGACGAAACAATTTGTAAATTCAAATGTGAACTAAGCCTGATCTAAGAAACACAACCACTTAGGTAAGATAAGTAGAGCACTGCCCTCGCTTCTTGCTGGGTCGACGTTCGATCCCCCAATAGTCCAAGTGGTTATGCGTCGTTTCTTTCCCTCCTTCCTCCTATCCCTTCCAAGTGCTACATAGACAGATGTACTTGCTTAGTTCTTTCTCCTCATAATCACCTTACCCACTTCAAAACACGTGAACATGTTTTCTTTCCATGCTTCTTGTACACTGTTTTGGAGTCTTGTACAATTGTTGTGTCACAATTGACATATCAATTGTGACACTAGCTCTCCACATATGTCAGTTGCTTAATTTAGACACTGTACTTGTAGTCGATCTCGAACCCATTGTTGATGTGACGACTTATACTGAATTTTGTAACTAGCTCATCAAGACTGTAACTTGCTTAGCTAAATGAATTGTGGGGTTCAGTCCCTGAGCGTATGATGTGCCTCTGTAACCCTTTCCACTACTGCCCACAAGATGGGTATGGGGTGCATAATAAATGAACTAAACTAAAAAACTGTTGTGGAGGAGTGAGTCCCGGTTGCCACCTTCTGACAACCTTATACTTTTAAAACATTGTGAAGTTAGTTTCGAGTCGCCTCATTGCTCCAGTTGATTTTATCATTGATGTATATCAATTTCATTTGATTTCTTTGTGTATCTACAGCTGGAGCGTACACCAGAGTGCATGGGGGAGTTGTGTAAAACTTGAACAGGCTTCAGTAGAAGCCTCCAGACTTCCTGTGGCTTTAGTGGAATCTCAGGATGTATAACTTATGCCATGTTGTGGTACAGGAGTAAAGCGCGTGGTTCGGAATACCTTGATCGCTGGTTCGAGTCGCCTCATTGCTCTAATTGATTTTCTCAATACATATGATCACCAGCAGAAGCTAAACACCTTGGCCTAACCTAACTTATGCCTAACCCTAACCTATGCCTAACCCTAACCTATGCCTAACCCTAACCTATGCCTAACACTAACCTATGCCTAACACTAACCTATGCCTAACCCTAACCTATGCCTAACCCTAACCTATGCCTAACCCTAACCTATGCCTAACCCTAACCTATGCCTAACCCAACCTATGCCTAACCCAACCTATGCCTAACCCAACCTATGCCTAACCCAACCTATGCCTAACCCAACCTATGCCTACCCTATCCTATGCCTACCCTAACCTATGCCTAACCCTAACCTATGCCTAACCCTAACCTATGCCTAACCCTAACCTATGCCTAACCCTAACCTATGCCTAACCCAACCTATGCCTAACCTAACCCATGCCTAACCTAACCCATGCCTAACCTAACCCATGCCTAACCTAACCCATTCCTAACCTAACCCATTCCTAACCTAACCCTAACCTATGCCTAACCCAGTCCTAACCTATGCCTAACTATACATAGAAATTTAATAATGTATATAAATTAACATTAATAATGTTAATTCATATACAAGAACAAACTTCTTTTTAATGAACAATACATACAAATTTAATGCGTTTTGGGAGACGGCTGCTGCTCTAACGAGCCTGGCCTAAAGACAGATTGAAAATACCTTGCCTAACCTTAGCTAGGACTAACCTAACACAAAGTAATCTAAATAAGCATTCCTAAAGCACCTTAAATTACCATACCTTACATAAGCCTAACTATATGTAAATCACAATAATAAAATTAATTTTGGTTTTATTCAAAACTGTTAAACATTGCAAAAGATTTATCGTGTCGGTAAATTGCCAAGTGGCAGCACTGTATATTAGGGCCAAGCACTAGTGACCACTTACGAAATCTGTACATCTTCCCTCGATCATGGCGGCTTTGCAACTATTAAACAGTTTATGAACATTGAAGCGTTACGAGGTTGTCTCTAACCATTATAATCTTTAGTTGTGAAGTTTCAAAGTAATTATCAAATAAAGGCGCCAAGCCTCGATGTGAAGTTTCAAAGCTCGTAAACTGTGTATTAAATACCAGCAAAATTGCTATGATCGAGGAAAGAAAGAACGTCTTTCTTCGATCATACACGTGGAGTTACGTGTCCACTACGTGTAGTGGACACGTAGTGGAGTTACGTGTCCACTTATGTTTCGCAAGTGGACACGTAACTTCTTGATAAATCCTGGCCAGACTCACAAGACCACATGGTATTCCTTCTTCCCCACAATTAAACTGTAGAAAGTGTGATAACAAGTGGCTAAATTGGAGCACCTGACCAAGGAGTTCCTGGCGAACGTGTCATGAATTTAATGAGGAAACTCTTTAGTTCAGTGTACAGCAAGAGACGCGAAGCATGAAGCACGCTGTCGCACGGCCCTCAGCCGTGTTGCGCCCTGTATGGTGGTCAGGGAGGCCCCGTGGTGGTCAGGGAGGCCCCGTGGTGGTCAGGGAGGCCTCCGTGGTGGTCAGGGAGGCCTCCGTGGTGGTCAGGGAGGCCTCTGTGGTGGTCAGGGAGGCCTCTGTGGTGGTCAGGGAGGCCTCCGTGGTGGTCAGGGAGGCCTCCGTGGTGGTCAGGGAGGCCTCCTTGGTGGTCAGGGAGGCCTCCTTGGTGGTCAGGGAGGCCTCCGTGGTGGTCAGGGAGGCCTCCGTGGTGGTCAGGGAGGCCTCCGTGGTGGTCAGGGAGGCCTCCGTGGTGGTCAGGGAGGCCTCCGTGGTGGTCAGGGAGGCCCCTTGTTGGTCAGGAAGGCCCCGTGGTGGTCAGGGAGGCCTCCGTGGTGGTCAGGGAGGCCCCCGTGGTGGTCAGGGAGGCCCCCGTGGTGGTCAGGGAGGCCCCCGTGGTGGTCAGGGAGGCCCCCGTGGTGGTCAGGGAGGCCCCCGTGGTGGTCAGGGAGGCCCCCGTGGTGGTCAGGGAGGCCCCCGTGGTGGTCAGGGAGGCCCCCGTGGTGGTCAGGGAGGCCCCCGTGGTGGTCAGGGAGGCCCCCGTGGTGGTCAGGGAGGCCCCCGTGGTGGTCAGGGAGGCCTCCGTGGTGGTCAGGGGAGGCCCCGTGGTGGTCAGGGAAGCCCCTTGGTGGTCAGGGAGGCCCCGTGGTGGTCAGGGAGACCCACGTGGTGGTCAGGGAGACCCCCGTGGTGGTCAGGGAGACCCCCGTGGTGGTCAGAGAGGCCCCGTGGTGGTCAGGGATGCCCCTTGTTGGTCAGGGAGGCCCCTTGTTGGTCAGGGAGGCCCCCGTGGTGGACGGGGAGGCCCCGTGGTGGTCAGGAAGACCTCCGTGGTGGTCAGGGAGGCCCCGTGGTGGTCAGGGAGGCCCCGTGGTGGTCAGGGAGGCCCCGTGGTGGTCAGGGAGGCCCTCTGGTGGTCAGGGAGGCCCCTTGTTGGTCAGGGAGGCCCCTTGTTGGTCAGGGAGGCCCCGTGGTGGTCAGGGAGGCCCCTTGTTGTTCAGGGAGGCCTCCGTGGTGGTCAGGGCGGCCCCTTGGCGATCAGGAAAGCCCCGTGGTGGTCAGGGAGACCCCCGTGGTGGTCAGGGAGGCCCCGTGGGTATTGATCAGTGAACAAACAACCTCGCGAGCACAGCCTTAATTACAAGACCTTTTCTCATGCTTTAAGCGCCACAATGTTCACGCTATTAACCACGGCGTCAAAATTCCGATGATTTAGTACAATAAATAGCACCACAATGTTGACGTCATGGGACTAGTAATCAGCAGGCTCAACATGCTAGGCTGCCTATGTACTTTAGTTATTTATTTATACAAGAGTTCTTACATTCTTGCACAACCACGAACAGGCCAGTTCGGGCAAGTCCTTAATCCTATGTTCCCTGGAATACGACCAGGTACCCATTTTACTGTTGAGTTAAACAGAGGCTACAGTTAAGGATTTTGCGCCCAGTAAAG